CTCAATAGTATATACTAATCATGCTTCCATGGTCCTTCCTTTCATTTTATGAAAGTCAGATGACAGTGTCCTTATAAAAATGTTCTAGGCATTAACTAAAACAGGGACATTAAAAGCAACTTCTATTACAAAAAATAAAAGAAATGCAATCAATTATTTTCTTGCCTACAATATTTACTTAATACCTACTATTTACAAAGCACTGCAACAAGGCAGTGTGGCAGGAGCAATGCACATGTAGTTGCCTACATTTTAACAGCTGAAGGTTGAGAGCATAACCACATTTCTACAGGAGCAAAATGAAAGCAGTTTTTGTTTCCTATCAACTAAAAAATATTTTCTCTAATTTGCTCCAAAATCTAAATGAAATTGTGTTATCTTTCTAACCTTCACATCTATAAATTTGACATGGAATTCTTCTATTGTTAACATGATAAGGACTATAGCAAAACTGTGGCAAATCTGGAACTAATATAATATTCTCTAGGGCCTTTTTCCTCTCTTTAAACCATATATTATGACAATTTAACATATTAACCCTTCATGTTAGATTAGAGAAAATATTCAATGAATTAAATGTGCCTATTGACCATTTGTGTGATTGTAAGAATTACATTTGTTCATATACTTTAATGTTTATTTCAAAGCTAATTTTATAAATTCTCTGAAAAGGCCAATTCTTTTCCAACTTATTCCCAAATCAGTTAAATCACTTGAATGCAGAGATGTAAAATTTTACTTAAAGTCAAGAGTTTAGAGTTTGGTTGTGGACATAGTAAGAAAATGAAATTTTGGAACATATACAGTATTGTAAACTGTTACCTCAATTTAAAAAAAAGAAGTCACAGTTTTGGGGCCTTTTCCTAGTTCTTTAGACTTTTAATGATTTTTTTTTTTTTTGGGTCATCAGAAGCAATTTGTCTTTCCTTTTCTTATCACAATGAAACTAACAAACTATTCCTTCATGTGACACTTGAAAGCCTCACAATAAGATATACGATATTTTAGATGACATTTCACAAGAAGGTCGTTTCAATGTTTAGTAATTAAGTATGTTTTATACCAAATGAAGCTATCCTATACATACCAAGGTAGCTAAAGTAAATTGTGCATTAACTCTCAACTGTACTATATTTGCTACACACCTTCATAGCAGAAAAGAGAAAATCCATTTTCCAATAATATTGTACGTAAGAAGAAAATGAGTTTTTAAAACAGAGCTGGTGAACCTAATTTAAATCATATAGGTCATACTGACATTTTTAAAACTGGATTAGAAACGAGTTTGAAAAACATCTATATGAATTAAAAAATATATACTCCTTACATTGTATGTCACATTTATATGAGGGGGACCATGATCTAGTATTTGCAGCGTAAGTCTGATATCACACTAGATGAACTAAAGCTCTAGAAACACCATTAACAATATACTTTTTGTGTCTTCATCTTCTTATCTAAACTGGGGATAAGGATATTAACCTATCTCAGAGTATATAATTTTTTTTTACAGTCTGTTAAAATTATTTAAAGATAATATAGGAATACAGGTCAAAATTGATTTTTTTTAGAAATGAACATTCTCCTAGATGTAACTTTTTCAGATGTCAATTCTAACCTTTCATCTGTAAGAGTTTGAAATCGTTTCATCTTAATATTTATATGAAGATAATTTCCTAAATTTCATTATAAATTTAATTAATTCTCCAACAAGTAGATTGCCTTATTCATTATTTTTGAAAGAGTAGCAATTCTCCAAATTACTTTTGAAAATGTTCATGATAATAAAACTAAACATGAGCAGTAATATCTCAGAAATACAACATATTAAATGATGATATATTAAAACTTTATTTATGTATACATTTGAAATGAGGGGGATTTAAAGTTTATTTTCTTAAATGTTTTGCTATTTCAAATGTTATATATAGTCCAAGTGGCTTTACCCCATAAAAACACACAATAATACTAACTTCGACTGACATTGTTATATCGCTCTAAAATTTACTTTTTTATTTCAAACACTTTAAGTTTAAGAGTATCTATTTGGCACAGACACTAAAAAATAAAACCACAATATATTCACAGACAAAAACTACAAAAGTATATTTTAACAGATCTATTAATGCTTTTAAAAGTTATTCTATGTAATAATCAATATCATTAAAATCACTCCTAGTAACATTTGGGTTTTTTTCTTTTAATGATCCAAATCTATAGTGAAATGATGAAATTGAAAAACAAGTGTTCTTGTCAGAAGACAGGAAGAGAGTTTTTTCCCTTCCCTTAAGGAAAACAAAGGATTCCTGAAAGCCTTGCCCTGATTTATTTTTCCAATTTCAAATACCTTAAGAGTAGCGGAACTGCTACTGGCATGGTAGTATTTCTAACAGTCAATAAATCTAAAATATTAAGTGTGAATATTGGAATGAAGCCATTAAGAAGATTACAGCATGCAACACAGCAGAGGGTCCACAGGAAAAAAGAACTAGTAATTCAGGACAACTGTGACCACTGACCTTTGAATAGCCAAGACCACTGGTCAAGCCGACACAATAATAGAGTGCACATGCATAGAAAGTCATCTAACCTGTGAGTATAATTTAGATGCTTTGGTGAATGATTTTAAAAGGCCCCCATTTAAAAATCAGTATATTCATCAAATAATCAAACAATACCAACAGTAATATTTTTCAGGTTTAAAGTATATTTTATTCATTAAAACCACACCCAAACAAATCAGTAAAGCCATTTATGATTTTAACATTTCTCATTTAAAACATTTATAATCATAGAAAATATGGTGGGATAATTTATTGTATTTACTACAGAATTATATGAGATAGTTTTCAGAAAAATGATGAGAAAGTGTTTATGAAATGACTGATGAATAAATTTATAAGATATCAGGTAACAATCACCTAAAATATTTTTAGAAAATGACTATAACTAAAACATTTCATACCTTTAGAAATAGTTCTAGCTCCACCTCAAAGCTCTATCAACTTATTCATTCTTCATATTTGTCTGTTAATCTGTGACCCTTAATTTTCTGGTATACATAGATTTATATGTATACCACCTTGCAGTGTTCCTTTATATCTGTATTTTTCAATATTCCAGTTAGGTTTCGTTAATTGACCCTTATAGGTAAACTATAAATTGGTCCCTCCTATATTTTTATATATTTCTAGGTTCTTATATTTTAAGATGTGGCTTAACTTCTTCACATATAAAAATATGCGTTTTAATATTGAAATAATTCTAACAGGAAGATAGTAATTCCAAATTAAAAAAGAATCACCCATCCAAAAAGATTACTAATAATAGAGACTGTTTTCCTCAAAGAAAAGATCAACAATCATTGAAGCTGACTGTAAAAATTTCAATATGACACAGGAAAGTGGCCTTTCCCCCCTTTTTTCTTCCTCTTCTAATTTTTCTTTTCTTTTTTAAACAAACAATCTGTTCCTCTTAACACATCAACAGTAGGAAATACATACATGTAAGGAAAACATTCCAAAAAAGGGGAATTTTATCTTTATAATTCTCTATCCGATGAAGAATACTTTGATGACTTCTAAATGAATAAATCTAATCACTTCTAGCAGCTTCTGAAAAAATTTTATAATGAGGCAATCTACTTATAATAAGCTAAAAAGATAATATAATTCTTCACTGGCCTGGATTTGGATTTGTCCATACATAGCATAAATTTTATCACAGTAAGATAAAGTAGTTCAATTAAATTTTCTTCAAGATCATAAATATTTTAGGTTATTTATAAGCATAAATAATCTGATTTTTTACTTTAAAATCACATTTTTCTATCACCAGGTATAAAAATTATCAAGGCTCATATGTTTTTTGAGTTTAAGTTTTTTAATCCCCTGATAATGATTTCAGAATATATTACAGAAAATATATTCTGAGGTTTTTTATTCCCAAATCTTAATATCCTTAAAGAACAGGATTTTTAAAGGGAGTTATGTTTACTTAGAACTATATTATAAAAATATTTCAAAACAACCATTAAAATATACACAGAAACAATACTAGTCTGCATTTTTGTCCTGTTCTGAGCAACATGAAGACCAAAATTGGTGCTTTTGGAGAGTATTTAATATGAAATACAAAATATATTCTATTATAAGTTACAGATGCGCGCACGCGCGCGCGCACACACACACACACACACACACACACACACACACACTGCAAGATCAAAGACCAGCAGAGAACTGGCACTTAATTTATCAGCCTTTACAGACAAAAGACAGTTTTCGTCATTTCAAAAGGATCAGATGTCTTTTATGACAAACTGGGCTTGCAGTTTAATTTACAAATAGAATTCTAAGTAAGCAGTCTTTGCTCTGCCAAAGCAAATGACAAACAGTGTAGGTTTTCATTCTTGCGGCCCTCAGCAGGATAGAAAAGATTAAAATAAAACTGAAATAATTTAGAGAAAACAAATAAATGTTTCAGAAAGTTGAGGGAGATCAAAGCTAAAATTTTCTGACCCCAACTGTACAAGCATTTCTTATTATATTGACCAGTGCCATCAGATCATTAATTAAAAGGAAAAGCGCTGGCAGGTGGCAGGGAAGCAAAAGCCGATAATTGGCCCCCTTCTTCTTCTTGCCTTCAAAAACTCTCTCATTCTTTTGCAAGACATGCCACTAGGCAGACAGAAATGCGTACTTTGTAATATAATGATTAAGATAAGATGAAGAGACTTACGTTTAAAGAAACTCTGCCTAATGAATGCATCTAGCTTTTTAATTATGATCCTACTTTTACAATAAGGATATAATGTTCCATTCAACATCTCCTCAACTGCCAAAAGGTGAAAACATTAAATATAGAATTTACATCAATTCCTCTCACACCCCATACACTTTCATTTCAGATAAAATAAAAATGGAGGGGAAAATTACTCCTGTTAATTCAAGGGTTCGAGAGAAAACATATTTATATCACAAAATATCCTTTAGACTTACCACATCACTCGGCACGTTGTTCAAGTCATTAAATGGTGACTCTAAAGTGTTTGTGTCAACATTTAACATGACCACATCATCCAAAGATTTATTTTTCACTCTCTGTTTAAAAAAGAAATTATAAATAAACAGCTTTGCACATTTTCCTACAAAACTATAACGATCTGAAGGACACAGAGAAAATTATCTTAATGCATTGGCCTCAGGGAAAGAAAAAATCCTAGACTATATAAAGAATATAAACAACTTTGTTTTTTGAGAAAGTTTATCTGCAGCCATTCGATTTATTTGGTAAAAATATTTAAAATAGAATGTTTGCTCATCTAAACATACTTAAATAGTTTGGAGATTGAATATAATTTAACTACCAAATAGCTATTGCAACAACAGTTTAAAAAATAGACACAGCTAAGATTAAACTGTAAAAATTTTATCTTTTAAATTTTATCAAATTAATTTCAATCCTATGATACAGGAACTTGCAGCTAGTTTTGTACTATTTGAAGCATATTGCAGGATTACTATAAAGCAGTTAATAGTAGGGTAGTAAGTTAACACTGAAGCTAAGAAATAATGACATAGATGACTATATTTCCTTATCAATTCAATTTAAGTCGATGATGAGGAACATTGAAGAAGATGACAAGACAGTAATATGTAGTTCATTTTTGGTAATATTTATGATATGAACTATAATATAAAATATAGAACTTGTCTGTCAGATTATCTGACTTATTTGACAGCTTAGTCAAAGTTTTCTCACTACGTAGAAAAAAATGACAGTAAGTAAGAATTTCATCACATTTTCTTCCTAAAAGAAATATTTAGTTTGTTCTTTTACTATTTAAACTAGAGTATATAGTGTATAAATAAACTTCATAATTCTAGTATTCTTATTTAAGTGAAACATATAGCATTATTACTTCATGAAAATAAAGAACTTATTAATGAAATCTATCCATCAACTCAGAATTTCATAAATACATAGGTTAAAAAGCAATAGGTCAATTACAGTACAGTATTTTTAAAAGTTACATTCTAGACAACCATTTTGAGAATTATTAAATATTAAATCTGACATTTTAAATTAGTCAAAGTTGGTCTATAAGTTTGTCTTAAGTTGGTCAAGATTGAAATTTCTCTGATCCATTTAGCATTTCAAATCTCTTTATGTAAGACAGAATGTTCAATTTGTTAGGGAAATGGTAGTCCAGATTAGTTAATTTTTATGTTAAAAAAACTGTAGTCTATATGTAGAATATGGATTCTAGTGGGACACATGATTCTAGAAATCTACCTTGTAAAAGATATTATAAATAGTCTGAAGTATCACTCAGAAGATGGTCATTTCTAAGAAATTACCAAAATCCACTTAAAATAGTGACATTGCAAAAACATTTATAAATAAACCCATTTCCTTTTTCTTTACATGTGCATACATTTTTGTAAGAAATGGTTTATAAACACAAATAATTGGTTATCTGTAAGCAACGACAGTAACAAAATGGGAAAAAGCATAACTATAAGAATAACCTATTTGATAAAGCAAAAATATATTTGTATTAATGGCATTTGTGTGGAAAAAGTTTGCTATAATTTTTATTTCCATGTTAAATTTTAGTTGTCTTTTTAATAGAAACTGCAAAGATAATCCATAAATGTGATTTATCATAAATGTCAAAGATGAAATGAATGTAAACTTAGAAAAAAGGGAAATCAGAATATGAAATGTATGTTTTTTTTTTAAAGTAGCCCTTATTTTTAAAAAGTCTAATAACTAAATATTAAATTTTGTTCAAGGGGCCACTAAACAATGTATTCATTTCAATAAATCAATAAACTTGAGACCTCCTAAAATGAGAATGATGATGTTACATAAGGAAAAAAAGTATGTCATTTAAATTTCTTTAAAATTTTTTTTTGATCAATGTAAATTTTACCCACTTTTCCTTCCAAATCATGTTTCAGATTTTTTCCCCCAAACAGGAATAAAAAGTTATATAGCATAAAATAGTATCACTTTCTGTATCTCATATTTTTGTATCCCATAAATTCATAAATTTGCTTGGATAGGGAAAGAGTAACAAAATGTGAAAAGAGAACCTGACATTTTCTTCAAAGTTAAGAAAATAATACTAGTGTATTAGCCGGAAGTCATTAAGAAAGACAGCATGAAAAAAAAAAAAGAAAGACAGTATGGTATTGGTAAATTTTTCACATCCACTCTATACATAACCCTTGCATGCAGGATGGCTATAAAACCTAAATAAGGGACCACGAAAAAAACTAATTATAATAAAGAAAAAATCAAAATCAACAAGCAACTGTAACCAGAGACACACTGGGGGCGGGGGAGGGAAGAGAGGAGGGATTAGGTCAGGATGAGGGGGTGGGAATTGTATGGGGAATATAACCAAAATGAAAACACATACATTGTGCAAAAATGAAAAATGATGTAAGAATTATATAAAATAAAATAATTTTAAAAAATGCTAAAACAATCAAAAATAGAATGTACAGCATACACATTAACACAAGGAAACAACAGTGGCAACAATCACATGATCTTGTGAAACTTTGTCAGATAATCCAGAGACCTTTGTATATTGAAACAAATATAACCCTCACATTTATAGCCTCTGCCTAATCACTTATAAACCTTCGTCTTTTGAGTTCATCCGTAAGACCTAGACCCTAACTAAGGTCCAGTTTTCAAAAAGAACAAAATGTCCTTATCCTATATACCAGAAGAGATTTCTAGCCATCTTTTACTCAAGCAATTTTTAAAAGATTAAAAAGGACATTAATTGCATATCTTTGAACAATTATATTTAGAAGTCTTAGTAAAACTCATAAAATGTGCTGAAACTGTCTTGACCAAGAAAGTAAAGTAAGAGAGTATTTTGGTACTTTCCAGAAAAAAAAGTTAGTGGTAACGGCAGTCAAATAAAATGTACAAAGTTAGTTAGATCAGTCTCACATATAAAATATGTAAATAGATATGTATTTTACTTATTACATATTAATATAAAATATGAAAGCACAAAAGATTGAAATTTTAGTGAAAAAAATCTAATAATGACATAATAAGAACAGAATTACAGGATGTATGGCATCTTGAAATATATTAAGGAGGAAGTTACTAAATGATACTCAACTGGTTTAAAGACATGCCTAAGGTTTCTATAATACTTTCTCATTCTCTACCAGGCCAAATAAATAAAGTTGACTATTAATTCAGTTTGAATAGCCCAGAGTATAAAAGGTACAGAGATTTTAGTGAAACTAACCATAATTTTGATCACTATCATTTAATGGATAGGAGCCAATTTAAAGTTAGAAGGTACTGTTTCTCTGAGACAATACTTAAGGAGCAAGTATTAAATTTGGCCCTTAAAGACGTACTGATTTTCACCAGAGGTATCCAATACACATTTGATAAACTTAACTGAATATTTAAAAATTAACCCTGTGTCAATAGTATCTTGGAAAAGCTGAGTGTTTTCTTTTAAAAGCTGATGTAGAATATTATGTTAAAAAGTAGCATCAATTGGTATAATTATCAACTTTAAATATTTTTCATCTGTATAAATGAATGCATTGGAAAAATTACATATTCTATCAGATACCCTAAATAAGAAGAAACATGTACACTAATATCAACATCCAACTTGATGGCTTTTTGGATACTGTAACAACCAACTATGGTTAGATTTTATTTAAAAGTTAACCTGCTGATGAATAAATGCCAGTCATATATTCTATCTCTAACAACCGATCAATTACCTATTCATTCACATTTTATTTTATACAATTTGTCCTTTCACTACAGGAACCATGACATGTAAGAATAAATTTTCTAAAAAATTAACAAAATATAAATTCAAAATATTGTCCAAACCAGATTTTAACATTAATAAAAACAAAATAAACATTAAAGAAATTCATTAAAATGTATTTCTAATTAATGGCTAAACAAATAAACAAGGATTCTGCAAAAAGGAAAAAATGACCAAACTGAGAACACATGTTTATGTAATTCAGGACTCCTATAGGGATATGATTCTCTCACAAGATTCTCAGGAGTTTTAAAATAAAAAACAGCATTTCCCTGATCAGCAAAGTGAAGACTGATGTTGGATACAGTGACAACAAATGATAAGAAAACCAAATCTAACTCATGTAGACTGAACATCAGAAAGTGGATTAAAGTACAGTATGTACAACAAGCAAAAAAAAAAAAAAAGAAAGAAAGAAATGTATTTGAATACAACTGAAATCAGTCTAATTTCTATGCAAATGATCTAAGTCTTTTACTTATTGTTTTAGATGTTAACCTCATATGAAGTCTGCTCTGGAAATCTCACTGATTTCAAGCTGAAAGTGTTAAAATTTCAAGGCTTCTTGCTATAGTGAAGACTCAAGTGACAAATGTCAATTTGACATGAGATAATAGTGTAAAAAACCTAACATATTTTATTTTTTTTAAATAATACATGTTAAAATCCCATCAGGACTGACCATTTTTAAAGTTTTTAAAGGTATAGTCTAATTAAAAGTTCATGATTAGTGTATTGAAATCACATTTTGAAAAAGCACCATGATAAAGTGGATCATAGTGAAGTTTGCAAAACATTTTCCCTTTATGACTCTTAACAACATAAATTCTAATTTTCAAAATATAGATTTGTAATTGAATACATGTAAAATATCCCAAATATTATATGGAAGAAAGTAGTTCTTTAAAGTCTAAACTTTTTAAGTATTTAAAACTTACCATTTTGATTTCTACCAAATATAACTGATTTTCATGGATTTTGTGCCATTGAAGAAAGTTATTTAGCATGCTAAAATAAAGTTATTTAACATTACCTTTTTAAACAATAGTAATGTAAGTATACTCCAAATATAACCTAATGACTCCTTTATATTATTCTATTAATATTCTCTCAAAACACAACTGTTTTAACTATTGCTATTATGAATTAATTTATCACTATCTCAGGTTTGAAAGTACTCACCTCTATTAGGCTGGAGTGTATTCCAATCAGGTATGGCATTGGGGCACTAAATTAAAAATATATATGTATATATTCATATAATTTATTAAAACTAAAACATAGACAATTCAAAATAACTTAAAAATTTTACTTAAATGCATAGTTCTAAATATACTTTATATTTTACATTACTCAATATACAGTCTCAAACTTAGAAATTATTAATATATTCATATTAATGTCAATTTATAAATAAGTCAAAAAATCATTATAGTAATTCAGAATTATAATGCCTAAAAAACTGTCTTTAATTTAGGATAAATATTAGGGTCCAGGCCATAGTCCGAGTTGAATATTTTCCATATACTTCAGATAAAAGATATCCTAATTATCAAATTTATCCACATTTACACATTTTTATTCAATTAGATTCTTATTTCCATGATTTTCTGAACTTATAGTCATTGTTTTATACCTACTATGATGCCAAAATTTTTTGATTCAGTCAGTCACCAAATATTTATGGAAGCCTACTGGTGTGCCAGGCATTATTTGGGAAGTAGAGGTCCAGAGATAAACAAGTTCCTTATCTACTGTTATTGTTCAATTTCTATGCTACATTTCCAACTTATATTTAAATTTTATACATTCATATTTATCCCACATTCATTTTTATTAATTTTAATAGATTTAAAATATTAAGTAAATTTATGAGTGATACTTGGATTAATTTATTTAAGCATAATACCTGGAGAACGCCAGGTGCCAAGATGTGGGTACAGGGTTATTAATATTAATAAACTATACAGACAGTATATATTCCCTTGTAGATCTTAATCTCTAGCAAAGAATACATATATTAAATGATTTTTGTGATATATAAATACAGACTTACTAGTAACTTCAAAAATATTTCTCATTAAATACAAGAAGGAAATTTTTCAACTTGCACAAAATTACATACTATTTAAAAAGAATGAGAATGGACAGATGTCTGCAAAGTAATATAAGGTATGCAAATAAATAGCTATTTTAAAAAACAGTTTTTACAATTCTTTCAAAAACATATTTGTGCTATGTTTAATGCTAACCTTTTCTGTTAATGAAAACAGATAATCTTCTTTCTCAAAGGATTTGCATAATTTTTCATACGTAACTGCCACTATTAGGAGGGAGCTATCCAAACTCCTGTGTGTCCACTTTGCTACTTAGAACCAGTAATAAATTTTTAAAAAAAAGTAACCTCAAACACTTCCAAATTTACTTAAGGTTAGCTAACTAACTTCATAAAAATTAAGACCTGTTAAAGTTCTTATTTTACTCCTCATTAGATTGTTACTTCTTATTGTACTAAATTCCAATTCTCAGTTGTCTTTATCTACTCTACCTTTGTCCCTCCCTATTTATTTTTTAATTTTTATGCAACAGATCACATGAATTGATATTATGGATCCTTTATTTGGCTGAAAGTTGGCATCTATTTATAGGTCTTATTAGCCTTCAGACCTAACAGATTTTCTGTATACAGAAGCAAACAGTAGGAATAAATGTAGACTGTTCCACTCCTGCTTAAATGAGGGAAGGGTGGTTACTTCCTTGGTTAAGTTCTCATCCCTAGAATGCTTCTGAACGCCAGAGAAAACACAAAATCACTAATTCTTCTGGGCTCCCACAACCAGTTTTAGGTATCCTTCACAAAATAGGGAAGACAACTCCTAAAGTGTCAGGTTTTCCCTATATCCAAAATAGATTAAAGTTATTAAATTCATTGTGCAAACTTTCAGTTCAACATTGATACATTATTTCACACGCATGAGTTGTTATATATAAAGTCTTGTAATCACAACGTTTAAAGCACATTAATAAAATAAGTATTAGTCAAAACATTTAAGACCTCAAAATACAATTATGTCCATTTTACAGATGTTGGGGGAACACTTGGTAAATCTGATTTCAAAAAAAAAAAACAGCCAAAAGTATTAACTAACCCATTGAAGTCCTACAAAATACATCTAAGATAACACTTTTAAAACTTCCTAAAAGCTAGTTATCTCTTGAGATATAAACAATAAATTTAGAGAAAGTGGTAAACTAGAAAAAAAAATCAATAGAATTCCTGAGCAGAACTTATAATAACAAAGTAACTTGAAACTTTTTCTATGGGATTACTGAGTACCTTTATGAGTTTTAACCTACTATTTTCTAACAAAATCTGATACATACAGATATTAGAACTACAAACATTATTAAAGCATAATTTCCTAAAATAATTGTTTTGCAGAATATAGATTTGAGATTTTTTTCTCATGAAAACTGGATTGTGCACATCCTAACATTAAATCAGCCAAATCTCATGAAAAGTAATTTTGCAACCCTAGCTGAAATCTCCTAATTAAATTAGGGCATTACCAAGTCAGGAAGAAATCCTTGGCAACACAGATGTTTTATCATCCATGAGCAAAACTGTCCTACATCTTTCTGTCAATGAAGTTATTTTACAAAGATAGGGTACAGAAGGCTCTATTATGACTGCTTCTTCTTTTTGGCAGCAATTAATCTTTACTCCTATATAATTACTATGTCATGGCCTTTTTTATTTCTTTTTAGGTTTTCTTACAGAGACCACCCATGGAGTGAGCAGGCTGTAAAGCACTCTATTAAGCTATTAAGTTAAGGAAATCTAAACAACTATTTTTTTTAAATTGGTCATCTTGTTTTTTATTATTATTATTTTTATTGTTTTACATCATTGTTCATTTTTAAACAATATTTTCTTCCCCCACCCCCTCAGGTGTAGTCCCCATAGAGTTTCCTTCACCAATGCACCTGTGCACCATCACCTCAGTCCCATGCTTCTCCCTCCCTCCCTCTGATCCCTCTCCCTCCTCCTCCCCTGCAGTATGTCTCTGATTTATAATTGTCTGTTTTTGCTTTGTTGTGTTTTGTACTGTTATTATTTTTTACACTGATGTCTCATTTGGTTCCCCTATATTCCTGCTATAAGTGAAACCATCCAATAAACAACTAATATTCCATTTAGTTTTAAAAAACTATTCTTTTAGAAGATAAATCTGCTCCTAAAAATAAAAGTAGAGTCAGATAGACAGTCTTAATTAAAAAGTGACTCACCATTCATGAACAAATAATGAACTATGATTTTACTGGTACTAGAGTCATACTATCTCCCAAGTGTTTAAGGAACCAGAAAGGTTAAGAGTTTCTGGAAACATCATAGATTTGCCACATTAAAGTTCTCTCTCTCTTTCTCCCTCTCTCCCCTCTCTCTCTCTCTTTCTTGTATGAATAGCTAACATGAAATCTTCCCTCTTAACAAACTGGTAAGTCTAAAACACAGTAGTGCTAACTTTAGGCACAAATGTACAAAAAACAAATCACTGAAACTGAATTATCTCATATAGCTAGACTTTATACTTGTCAAATAGAAATTCTCTATTTTCGGGCCTCCCCTGGTGGCACAGCGGTTGAGCGCTGGGCTGAGAAGCTGCCCGCAGCCTCTGCAGCACCGGTTTGATCCCCAGCCCCCAGAGAGGGTCCCACATGGCGCACAGACCTCTCCTGATACCTGCTGCTCCCCTCAGCAGTGTATTTTGTCAGTCTGCCTGTTCTGTTCCCTGCTCTGGCCCTGGTGAATCCTCTCACCCTCCGCGCTTCTGACTGTACCCAGTGCTTGTATAAATAAATAAATCTTTAAAAAAAAAATCATTCAAAAAAAAACATTTATTTATTTATTTTTTGGTAATATATTCTGTATATGTCATTACCACATTTTGTTTATCCATTCATCAGTGATGGACACTGAAGTTCTTCTACTTTCTGGCTAATGGACATTGCCATGATAAACCTTCACGTACAAGTTTTTGTGTAGATACATGTTTTTGTTTCAAAAATAATTTTTTTTTTAAATTCTCTATTTTCCCTGTATGCTATAGATGAAGAAGGAAATGTAGATGGTATGGCTTCCATCCAATGGTGATAGCCTTCCCTTCTCTTGCCTACCAGGGAGTGGCAACCATTTAACTTCCGCAATGTCACTACCCATGCTTATTTTTATATGCCTCAAGTATAGACCTTACAGTATTTCAGGATTACTTGTACCCTTTGTGTGTGCATGTGCTTAAGTGTGTGCATTCTATGCATGCCCATGTGTACGTACATGTGAATTTCTTCTCATCTGTGACTCCTGGGAGGACACAAACTAAATCTTACTCATTATATTACATATTCATGGGTTGGAAAATAGGTGTTCAATAAATGCTTGAATACAAATGGCTGGATGGATGAATGAGCCAAGAAATTAGCAAAGTTTTTATCAGTAGACCCAGATGTGATATTCTTCTATGGTCACAAGATGGCATCATGGCTCTCCACAGTCTACACCACACCAGAGATACCAGGTATGAAAGCAAAAATACTTCAAGGAGCTAGGATTATCTCAGGATTTGGTAAATATACATTTTTCCCTATTCAAATTTTCATGGTGTTATTTTTGAAGTGGAATATAAAAATCATTCTAATGAAAAGCAATGATATTATAGAGAAATGCTATTATTTTTCTTCCTTTTGCAATCAAATCAGTATGCATATGGGATCATTTGCAAGATGCAAAGGGGCCAAAAAAAAAAAAGCCAAACATTTTCTCTAGGAAGTGTTTTAATTTGTAGACTTTTCTAACAATGGAAGAGAGCTGTCTTGTATGATGTCTTAAGTAAACATGATAGATAGATAAATAAACATTATACTATGATAGAAGTTCCTGTGATAAAAGCTGAGTCTATTATTGAGACCTTAAGATTCAGGAAGTTTCAGATAACCTCTTGTTTGATCGCTGCTGAACTCTCTGGACCAGGGAAGTGTCTGTCATAAAAGCTATTAGAACTTGTCCTAAAGACTACTTCAGAGTCTTAGAGACAAGTTAAGAAAATCCCAGAGACTGAAATATGACATTAGCTTTCTTCATTATAGTGGAAGCAAGAAATGGAAGGACTTGCTGGCAGGATCAGAAGGTATCAGGAAGACATCTCTGAAAAGAATTAGCACAGAACTACCTATATCACAGAATACTATCTAATTTCATATTGTAGAAAGTCTTAAATGTGTAATCATTATAGAGAACTGAACTTAAAGGAATGTAATCTAAGAAGTCAGAATATTTTAATATAAAAATTAAAATGATACTGACATTGTAAATGATAAAACTAGTTATAAACTTCATAATTAGAAATGTTAGTCTGAATCACTAACAACATATATTTTAAACTATATTAATATATCTTCAAATACTTTTGTTAAAGATATTTTAAAATAATTTTAATTACTGAACACTATATACAAACATTACATGTGTCACTGTGAATACATAGCAGTTCTCTGCCTTGAAGGCAGAGAAAAAAACTCTAATGAGTTTTTTCATCAGAGAAAAAAAACTCTAAAAAATAAGAAGTGAGCTTATTTGTATATTTAGCTTTCCTGTTATACTTCTGGTATGACACTTCACAATAAAACTGAACTGTATACCTGTGGTCTCCTACCAAACTGTTTCTCCTTTCTAGCACACAAAAGGCAAATGAGTCATGGTGGAGCACTGGGAAACTACTTCTCAGAGTTATCAATACTAATTATATTACCATGCTGTGAAAACAATATATTGGTTTAATGAACACATAGCCAAACAAATGTGCTGTCATTATAATCAATCACTTCTATTCTGAAGAAGACAAATCATAAAACTTAATAGAAGAAATCTGTGTATGCACTTAAGTCATTTTAATCCTTAAATACATTATAATCTGCTTTTCATGAAATAAAAAAGTCAAATAAATACTTTTCTTCTAAAAGCCTTTTTAAAAATAATAGTAGTTGTGACATAAACATTAATTTCTTCAATGTGCATGTACATATACATGGCTTATAGAGAAGAAAACTCATCAAATTTATTAAAAATTAAGGTAACCCTGCAGACAGACAATTACATAAATTTAGCACAGAACTACTTAGAAAATGATTATGTAGTGAAAATAACATTTACCTTAGAGTCCACAAAAAATCCTTAAGCTAATGTTTGGTAATCTAATCATTGTTTAGGCTGACTATAAAAATACACATTCTTCCTGGGGAGAACAGGTAAGCTCTAATGGGGTTTTGAATTCAAATTGGGTGAGATTATTAAGAATTGCTTCTAATATCAGGAAGCTGTTCAGAATTACTCCCAACACTTTTTCAACATCATTTTTGATAGTGGCTTAATGCTAAGACTTTGATTTAAAGCAGACATCCAGGGAATCACTGTATTACAGAAAACACTCACTGGTGTTTGCTGTTTAGTGTATGACTGAGGGAAGAGGAGTAAAGGAAAGTGTGCTCTGACAGACAATTTGGTTTCTGACAGAAGTACAGACAAATTCTGACACCTGGGATGCTCAGTTCCATACAAGGTTCCTAACCACAACTTAGTATTTGTAGTTATGCATTTAATTATCTAAATTATTGCAGATGAAACTGACAAAACCTAAAGAACTTTGTGTTTGCCAAGTACAAAATTTTTCTGACTTTGGAAATACTCTTACCTTATTAATACTTATTAGTAATTTCTAAATCCAATTTTCAGAAATTTCATTCATACACAAAGACAAAGTTTACCTAATCTACAAACAAACAGATATTTTTTCTCATCATGAAACCTGTATTTAAAAGATTCTGGCAAAAGTCAGCTTACCAGCAGTAATCCAGCAGGTGTGGAGGAAGCACTGGGATATATATGTGTTGCCAGTACATGGGGTACAACAGAGCAACTGATCCATGGAGACAGGCAGTTAACTAAAATTTGTAGAAGGATAACAACAGTAAGTACCCACTAACCATCCAAATAAAAAGGCATGCTCAAATTATCACAAGATTAACAACAATCATAAGACAATTTAATGATATAAATCACATTATCTTGTTCAATTTTACAAATAAAAAGTCTTATGTTTCAGAGGCCTTTCTGAAAAACATAAACAGCAAAGTAGCTTCTTAGGAGTCTTATATAAATAGTTATGGTCACAGCTTAAAAAATAAATAGAGGCAAAACTGAAAAATTAGCTGAACATCTTAGAAGAAATTGTAGGAAATTACAATTTGTGCAGTACAGTTTGCACATCACTCATATTAATATACCATGGTTAAATATCGAAAGGGAGAGAGGCTGAAAGCTCCTGAGGGATATCATTAGGGCAAATTGCCAAAGAATGAAACATGAGCCAGTCAGGAGAGTCTGGAAGCTGCAATAATACCAGGGGACTTGAATGTTCGACAGTTGGAGCTTCAGTAATGTGTGAACTGCGGGTTATGGTATCAAGAGACTCTGTTCACTGACACATAGAATGTCACTATTGACCAGCGAACTGCCCAAGCTTGACAGCTGTACTACAGGAAGCCAAGTATATCATAATTTCATATTTAAACTGTTCATTTCAGATTAACATTTTGTTTCCTAGCTTTATATCACAACAGCTGCAATTACATTGTTGCTATTTTAAGGTAATTGCCATTTTAATTGTTTTGTTTTGGCAAGCAGTTAATTAAATTTTTTTTAATGCTTAACAAAGGGATGACACTTTTTTTCCCTCCCTCCTACTGACCCTTATCAGAATTCTTCCCATATGATTTTCTGTACATTTTAAATTATATTTCTGTAAGTGTAGTTACTTTAACTGTTTAAAGTATTAATTAAATCGGCAGTCATCATCATTTTAGAGTTTTTGCTATAGTCTACATTTTGAGGTTACTAATTAAATTTTATTCATCTTGAAAATCAGAACTTCTAAATATAATCATATGAAAGTGAACCACATACTTTTTCTAAGCCATTATTCCTATTTTATTATACAAGATATTTAAAGTTATACAGTGATCAAATTATTTTTTAAGAATAAATGTGCACTAGTCAATCTTGAATGAAACATTTATCTACATTTAAGTACAAAATAGTTTCACTAAATTAAAAAACCAATTAATCTGGACCCAAACCAAAAATTGATTAAAGTATTCTCACGCTTGTTAATGTATTATGTATTTTTCAGTTAGATATTTCATCTATCTTATATATTGCAAAAAGAGATGCATTTTTATTCTATTTAGAATTTTTATCATTAAAGGGTTTTAGTAGTTGGTACTTAAAAGTTTTAATAGTTTATCTACAATACCATCCATAAATAATTTTTAAATGCCATAATTAGAGCACACATTTACCACTAGGAGGCATTCAGATACCTTTACTTCACAATTACAGATCACAAATTTATTTTTCTTACATATTTGAACTAGAGGGAAATGAAAATGGGGTTGATGTGATTCATGTTAAATTCTACCAGAGCTTTCAGATACTGCCTGGTTGTAAATTAGGCATCTTTAAACTGTTTTAACTCTTTCCAATCTTTTGGTGTAATGTGATGCACTAAAAGAGCTTATGCAGCATTGAAAGCCAGTTAATTTACTCAATCTTTCCATCTGCCCAGAGATGACTTTTAATACAGCTTATTTAAAACCCTGAAAAAAGGAAAGTGTTCTTCTTATTATTGAAAATAAAATTAATAGTGTAACAAGGAGAGAAATACATTCTCAAAATGAGGAATGATAAAAAAAGGTAAGTTATTTTACTGGACACAAATAGAGTCTGAAGGTCTCCATTAAAGGCTATCCCTATCTCCGTAATATTCATCAATAAAAAGAGCTAGAAATTATTCATTAGTAAGAAACACCATTATCTGATAAATTTAGTTTCTCATAGGATGAAATTTATGATAAGCAGTACATATTTCTACAAATGTCAGCATTTGGCAGAGGGTTACCTCTGCTAAATCAAATCTACCAGAAAAGGAAGAAACACTTAGGATTTGGTTAACTTTTTGGATATATAGGACAGGTAACAGGAGGTATGAAAGTGGTACTCCTCCCCAACCAGTTTCTGGCAACTAGAATGAGTGATTAAAAGTAACATAGCAATAGTGTCAGATTAGATGAAACTAAGAAATTTGCCTTTGCAAATATTAACTGTGAGAAATCCATGTGGATATTTCTAAATAAGGCAGAAACATACCAAAGAACATACCCCCATACCACCTAGTAGCATGTAAATGTGATTTTAAAGAAGAGAGAGAAAATACTATTATAGCATATATTATAGTATATATCAATGAATTCTAACATTTTACATTCTTGGTAATAGGGTTTTTTCTTATAATAAAAATGTTTACTTCTAGGTGGTTAATAAAACATTTTGCCTAGACTATAGTGTATATTCACCTGAAAATGCATCTAAATATAAACTCTAAAACCTTTAAAGCACATTAGGTAACTATGCAAATGGAAATATAATAATTTACTTAATTTTTGAATGCCTGTAATGTGCTATTATAAATTCAGTGAGGTCACAAAATATAGTACTAAACAGAGCAGAGATCCTATTTTCATGGAGTTTATATATTAACATAAAATCTGTTTCAGTTAGAGGTAAGTTATATGAAGAAACCTAAAGCAGGAAAGCAGGACAGGGAGACTATTTTAGACAGGAGGATTAAGCACAAGCTCTGATACAGTAACATTTGAACTGAGACTCAGTTGAAATAAGGCAGTCAACTATTATGGATTTAGGGAGAAGATCATTCCAGGTAGACGCAGCAATTGCCTTCAAAAGGTCTAAGGTGAGAAAGCTCTTGACATCTTCACAGAGTAGTAAAAACAGCACAACTCTACCTCATGAGTGTGATAATCTGGGTTAAGTGGAGAATAGCAAAAGATGTTATACAAGCAGGGTTAGGACTGAAGACCCTATGGGACATGGCAAACACTCTCGATTTTATCTGGAGGATATATGTTCATACCTGTGAAGAAAACAATGTCACAACAAATTATTTACCTAGAAATATGAAAATAAACTACTTATCTTTGAAGTCTGATTGTAGAATGAAGTACTATAAAGAAATGAGATCAATTTACCTAACTGCTTTACCTAAGACTACCTATGTTGAATATAAATGATGAAAGTAGACACCCTTGTCTTATATCTGATCTTTAAATAAAAACTTTCTATTTTTCACCACTGAGTATGACATTAGTTGTGAGTCTGTTGAGGTATGTTCCTTCTATCCCCATCTTTTTGAGAATTTTTATCATAAATGAATATGGAATCTTACCAGATTCTTCTTTTGTATCTATTGATATACTCCTATGATTTTTAAATTTCTTTTGTTGATATGATGAATGAATTAAATTGATTGATTCATGGTTGCTGAATCATCTTTGCATCCCTATTGGTCTTGATATATGATCCACTGGTTTTATTTTGTTGAATTTATTTTCTAAGATTTTGTTGAAGATTTTTACATCTATGTTCATCTACACTTCTCTTTCTTTGTGATGTGCTTCTAGTATCAAGGTAATGTTAGCCTCAAAATGTGTTTGAGAGCACTCTCTCTTCCTCAGTTTATTGGAAGAGTGAGAAGGATAGGTATTACTTCAATTGAAGGTTTAGTAGAACACACTATCATTTAGTCTTAGGATTTTGTTATGGGGGAAACTTTATGTTAATTGCAATTTTCTTGCTGGAAATTGGTCTATTCAGGTTTTCTATTTCTTCCTGATATGTCTTGGAAAGTTATATTTCTAGAAATTTGTCCACTTCTTCAAGGCTATCCAATTTATTGGTATAAATATGTCCATAGTAGTCTCTTACAACCCTCTATACTTCTGAAATACCTTTTGTAATTTCTCTTTGATTTCTGGTTTCTATTATATTTTCCTTCCTCTTAGTGCACCTAGGTAGAGGTTTATTTATAAGCCAGATGTAAAGAATCTTCTTACTTTTTATTTATGGTATAGAATCTTTAAGCATAAAGAGAAAAGGCAGTCATATATCTGGATTAGAATTACCCCAGATTCTATGTCTAGTCCATGATAGGGCTAGGACTTTACATTGCTTTTCTAATGGGACATGGCAACTGCTTCTCAATTGCAGAGCTATTCTTCATGAAAGCTAAGAGGGTAGCAGAAGGAGTTTCAGTGTTTAAGTCAGAATATATCCCTGACACTGTGTCTTGGAAACTAAAGGAACTGTCATACATTTCAGAGAAACAAATTTACCAAATAAAAGGCTTAAGAAAAAAGTGTTAACATCTTTGTTAAATAGCACATGAATCTTTCAATGCGCATATTATTTCACAAAGCATATTCAATGTATTGAACTGATACAGTCCCAGAGTGCTGACTAATACAAAAGAAATAATTGGGAATATTTATTTCTTATACACTACAATTACAAAATATGGCAACCATATGAAGAGATTAAAACTGGGGCCTGTGACATCAAAGGAAGGACCTTGATAATAAAGGTTGACAATAGTGAATTTATTTATTAAAGGCACTTGGAACTTTAAGTCTCAGGCCATTATGTCTAATGTAGATACTGTCATTGACAATAATAATATTTATATTTATATAATGCTTACTATATGCCATACTCTATTCTGTGTATCTGGTATACTAAATTTAATCCTCACAATCACCTTATGACCTAGGTTCTATTATCATTATTCTCATTTTACAACTCAGATGACTATGGATAAACTAAACCAACTGACCAAGATCACACAGCTAATAAGTGGCAAAGCCAGAATACCAACATAAAGAGGCTCCAGGATACAAGAATCACAATTTTATATCACCTCTGGATTATGGAACAGATCAAAATTCCCATCATCGTAAGGTTTTTAATAATATCTATGAGTTGAAAACATTTTATCCTGTTACATAATGGAGATGAGAGTTTGGACTGAATA